AGTGGCTATTAAATACAACCAAAAGAAAGCTCTGTGTGAAAAAAAAAAAGATGAAAAATTTCATATGGGTACAGTGTTGCATGACCGCGCAATTGAAATTCAAAGTGCGACAGTTGTGAAAGCTGAAAATTGTCCATGGGCACAAAGGGGGTATGAGTGCCCGGTAGGCAAGTGGTTAAACAACTGTAGTATCAGGCTGCAACATAAAACTAAAAAAAATACTTTCTGAATACACTGTATATGACTGAATTATGGCCTTGTGTACAAAGTTATTAGCACACACTGCTGCACTGCGGTGAGGAACCGTTTATAAAACAGGTAGTACTGCCACCAAACACGACCCATTCATGTAAATGGGGCTGTACCACAACTGTGTGTAATGCACATAGCTGTGATATGGTGCTGCACCCTTTGAATGGTTAACGCAGGCGCTGAGGAGGCAACATATTGTCTCTGAAAAGCAATCCACTGCAGATCACTTTTCAGAGGTGTGACAAACCCTTTGACCATAAATTATTAAACGACTCTTAAAGAATCGCTGTGGTTGTGCCACAGAACCTGATTTTACCAACAGATGGCAGCAAAAGTGAAACCTAGAAATTCTAGGTGTACTTTGTGATAAGAGGATCCTTCTGTGTTATTACATGGATGGGTTACAAACAAAAAGAAGATTCCTTCTGTAGGCCTCCCTTGGTAAAACAAGTAAAACATTGCTATCTGTACCTTGGCAGAATGAAGGAAACTGCCATCACTGATTGCTTAGCTATCTCTAGCTTCAGTACTTTGATTCACTGACCTGTAACTAGCATGTAAATTTAACGTGTTATTAAACCCATAACCGTAAAATCAGTCTGTATATGCAGAAAAGCACTGTGGAACCTAAGGGGTTAATCCTCTGCATTGTGTAAATAGGCTGTTTGATCCTGTTTTCTCTGATCCTCTCGTGTTCTTCCAGTGTCCCCCTGTTATCTTCTGATAAGACATATCATGTGGTGGCATTCTGCACATACTCAGTTTGGAGTATAGTATTGCTATAGAGGTTTTTGTTTTTTCTTTTGGAAGAAGGCATGTGATCAGCACAGGGCCAATCAGCACTGTCCAGACAGAGGCCAGGGGTCTTGCATCCTCCTAGAGCAGAATGAAAACTACTCCTGCAAGCTTTCCCAGTGCTCGGCTGGACACTGATAGAAGTCACAAGACTGCTCTAACTGCTGATGTGAAAAGGTATTTAGCAGTTTATACTAACATAATTGCATTTCCATGCTGTGTGTACTGTGGGAGACCAGATATGGTGAATGCAGGGTCCTGGGTTTAGTAACACTTTAATGTTATGACTCCACAGGATGCATAAAGTGACAAAATATTGGATCTAAAGGCAGCCAGACTCTTTAATATTTTCAGTGGAGGTTGGCAATTTAAATGCATCCTTTTAATTCAAGGAGTGTTCCTTTGGGAACCTTTAAAAAAGAAGCTATAATTTCTGGAAGTACAATGGAGCTACACACATGTATCCCAAAAAAGAAAGCATGGAGGTAAGTGCAATAAACACATTATTTCCCTCTCACAGTTGTTACCGAAGGTACCTGGTAGATGAGGTTAAATGTACATGGTCTCCTCTGAGAGGATCTGTGATGGATAAAATATCCGGGGATGCTCATAAATCACAGTTAGATGAAATAATTCTACCCATTTGCAATTCACTGGTTTGGCCTCATCTTAAACATATACAAACAGTTCAGTTTTGATCAACAATCCATGCAGGATGTCTTTGAACTAGAAAGGACAATAAAATAAGGGGGTTGGATGATCCTTTAATAGGAATGATTACATTTATTCACTTTAAGAAGAGGTACTTACTGTAAATGTGAACCTTCACCTTGTAAAACAACCTATTCCATTTACATTAGAAATGAAAGGCAAAACATTTGTGTATATATTTAAAAAACATAAATACCCTTTCCACCTCCCCCAATTTTTTAGAAGTGATCACATAACCCTCTGTTCTCAGCTGCATAAGGATCTTGGAGAGCTAGGGGAGGAGAAACAGAACACCGACATTCCCAGTGAATGGCTGTGCAGGGGGGGTGTTTCAGCAGAAGTCTGATCATTGGAGAGGAGCAGGCTGAGTTCTCCGCACAACTAGAGAACTAACAGCGCTGTGTTCTCCTGCCTAATGTGGTCAGTTTTAAACAAGAAAGTAGAGGGACTGGCAGGAACATCAGGGATTTCAAACAAAGGAAGTAATACAAAGAGAACAGAAAGTTTTTCATACAAGTACAGTGGGGCAAAAAAGTATTTAGTCAGCCACCAATTGTGCAAGTTCTCCCACTTAAAAAGATGAGAGACGCCTGTAATTGGCATCATAGGTAGATCTCAACTATCAGAGACAAAATGAGAAAAAAAATCCAGACAATCACATTGGCTGATTTGGAAAGAATTTATTTGCAAATTATGGTGGAAAATAAGTATTTGGTCAATATCAAAAGTTCATCTCAATACTTTGTTATATATCCTTTGTTGGCAATGACAGAGGTTAAACGTTTCCTGTAAGTCTTCACAAGGTTGGCACACACTTTTGCTGGTATGTTGGCGCATTCCTCCATGCAGATCTCCTCTAGAGCAGTGATGTTTTGGGGCTGTCGCTGGGCAACACGGACTTTCAACTCCCTCCAAAGGTTTTCTATGGGGTTGAGATCTGGAGACTGACTAGGCCACTCCAGGACCTTGAAATGCTTCTTACGAAGCCACTCCTTCGTTGCCCGGGTGGTATGTTTGGGATCATTGTCATGTTGGAAGACCCAGCCACGTTTCATCTTCAATGCCCTTGCTGATGGAAGGAGGTTTGCACTCAAAATCTCATGATACATGGCCCCATTCATTCTGTCCTGTACATGGATCAGTCGTTCTGGTCCCTTTGCGGAGAAACAGCCCCAAAGCATGATGTTGCCACCCCCATGCTTCACAGTAGGTATGGTGTTCTTTGGATGCAACTCAGCATTCTCTCTCCTCCAAACACGATGAGTTGTGTTTCTACCAAACAGTTCTATTTTGGTTTCATCTGACCATATGACATTCTCCTAATCCTCTTCTGGATCATCCAAATGCTCTCTAGCAAACTTCAGACGGGCCCGGACATGTACTGGCTTAAGCAGGGGGACACGTTTGACACTGCAGGATCTGAGTCCCTGGCGGCATAGTGCGTTACTGATGGTAGCCTTTGTTACGTTGGTCCCAGCTCTCTGCAGGTCATTCATTAGGTCCCCCCGTGTGGTCCTGGGATTTTTGCTCACCGTTCTTGTGATCATTTTGACTCCATGGGGTGAGTTCTTGCGTGGAGCCCCAGATCGAGGGAGATTATCAGTGGTCTTGTATGTCTTCCATTTTCTAATTATTGCTCCCACAGTTTATTTGTTCACACCAAGCTGCTTGCCTATTGCAGATTGTCTTCCCAGCCTGGTGCAGGTCTACAATTTTGTTTCTGGTGTCCTTCGACAGCTCTTTGGTCTTCACCATAGTGGAGTTTGGAGTGTGACTGTTTGAGGTTGTGGACAGGTGTCTTTTATACTGATAACAAGTTCAAACAGGTGCCATTGATACAGGTAATGAGTGCAGGACAGAGGAGCCTCTCAAAGAAGAAGGTACAGGTCTGTGAGAGCCAGAAATCTTGCTTGTTTGTAGGTGACCAAATACTTATTTTCCACCATAATTTGCAAATAAATTCTTTCCAAATCAGCCAATGTGATTGTCTGGATTTTTTTTCTCATTTTGTCTCTCATAGTTGAGGTCTACCTATGATGCCAATTACAGGCCTCTCTCATCTTTTTAAGTGGGAGAACTTGCACAATTGGTGGCTGACTAAATACTTTTTTGCCCCACTGTACATGATACATCAGGCACATATCAGGAACATGAAATGTTTGGTTACATATTCTTCAAGAAGGGATATGATCACAATGTGCAAATATATCAAAGGAGATTATATTAATTGTAATAACCTGTTTATTCTGACATCCCTAAGGGAGACGTGGCCACAATTGAAGATTGGGGTGAAGGAGGTTTATTTGTAACTTATATAAGGTGTTCATTGTTAGAGCAGTGGAAATGTAAAATCCCCATCTCTATGTAGTTTTAATAGCGGAGTGTGGTGATAATTGAGAAAACACAATATTTCTTTATCATACATCATGGGACACACAGTAGGCTATTCCTGACTATGTGGGTTATATGTCACCTATAGGTGACTGGACACTGGCCGACCAATCAAACAGGAAGTCCCCCCACCCATAATAACCCTTCCTACTCAGGAAGTACTTCCGTTTTTTTTGCCAGTGTCTGAAAGGTGGATGATGGTCACTAATGTGTTGTAGGTGCTCTTGGAACACATGTCACTTCTGTGAATCAAGGACTGGAATTGGATCGGTTCAGAAAGCTGTTGGCTAAAATGGATGGTACCCAAGCCTCGTTAGATAAGGAGAGAAGAATCCTCGAGGTCTGCCTGTAATGCAGCCTTATGGCATTATACCCTGCATAATGGATCCTGTGCAGTGTTCTGACCAAGGTGCTTTCTAGCAGGATGCTATACAGGTCCAGATGTAAGGGGGGGGCCAAGTCCTTAACCACAAGCCTACAGGGCACTTATACCCCCTTCCTGCCCAGGCCAATTTCCAGCTTTCAGCGCTGTCACATTTTGAATGACAATTACGTGGTCATGCAACATTGTACCCATATGGAATGTATATCATTTTTTTTGTGAAGATAGAGCTTTATTTTGGTGGCATTTAATCACCTCTGGGTTTTTTTTTTTAAACCAAAAACCACTGAAAATTTTGAAGAAAAAAAAAGTTTTTTCTTAGTTTTTCTTAAAATTTTGTAAATAAGTGATTTTTCTCCTTCACTGATGTGTGCTAATGAGGCTGCAGTGATGGGCACTGATAGGTGGCACTGATTAGCACTGATGAAGAGGCACTGGTAGCTGGCCCTGATGGGCATTGACAGGCATCACTGATGGGCACTGAAAGGCAGCACTGATAGGCAGCACTGACTGGCACTGATAGGTGGCACTGATAGGCGGCACTGACTGGCACTGATAGGCGGCACTGACTGGCACTGATAGGTGGCACTGATTGGCATTGATAGGTGGCACTGATGGGTGACACTGAAAGGCAGCTCATATGGGCACTGATATGTGGCATTGATGAGCACTGATAGGTGGCACTGCTGGGGCTACACTGATCATAAGGGCACACTGATCATCAGTGCTCTGATGATCAGTGTACATGTCTCCTCCGTGGAATACCGATTACTGGCTCTCCTCTCCTCACGATCTGTCAGCGTGACAGGTCAAGAGTAGAGAAATGCAGATAACCGGCATTTCCCTGTTTACATGTGATCAGCTGTGATTGGATACAGCTGATCACATGACCGAGCCGACATCTTCGGCTCTTTCCGTGGATCAGTGATCTGCTGTGTCCAAGGGACACAGTACACTGCCGATTGCCGCGCTACATGCTCCCTGAGCCGCACATGCGCGGTGAGAATGGGAGGATGTCATATGACATCCTCCCAGAATGAGAGAACCACCTTGCGCCTGTCATTGGACTATATGGCGGGCGGGAGGTGGTTAAAGGTCTTTTATGACAGAGCCTGCTGTAATGGGAGAAGGTTGGATTATGAGTCAGTCCTGCGGCGGGAATGTTTACATTTACAGTGATTCTTTGAAACTCTGACTAGTCATTCTTTCAGCAGCCACTGGGGGCAGTGTGCTGTTTGTTCTGGCCAGGCCATGTTCTATGTGTCTCGGAGTATTGGGCTGTTTTGTCCTCCAGCCACTAGAGGCTGCAGGTCCACTCTCTATAGCCTACTGTTGTGCAGTGGAGGCAGGAAGTAGAGGTTGGCCATTTTGGTTTATGGTTGAAGTTACAAGTGGGCTGAAGGATCAGTGAGACTTCTGAGAGATAGCTGGGACATGGAGAAGTCTATGGCTGGATGATGTGTGAGCACTACGTGTGAGGGAACTGCATGACCAGAGAGGATACGATCATCCACTGCATTAGTCTGCATAATCCCAGGGGGCTTGTACAACTGTTTTTTTACACACCCCTGAACACAGGTTTTGGACACTAAAAGGATAACGAAAAGGTTGGTTCTCCAACGTCTCTTGCATTTGATCTGCAGGAACATTTAAGCTGCACTGAAGCATCATAGGGGCTGCATTCAGGCTCCGTTTGATGCATACAGTTGTGTCCAAAATTATTCAACCCCCAATGCTGTAAAGGGGTTTAGGGACTATAGTGTACATTTGGAATTGTATTCAGAATCAAATCCTACAAGGACGTTGTAACTACCCAAATGCAACTAAAATGACATCAATTGTTTATGTAATACAGTAGTAAATGGTTTCTTATGTGGTTTCTTCATTGCCACAATTATTCAACCCCTTAAAGACTACCACTCTGAAGAACAGAGGTTCATACAGGTGCTTTCCATCAGGTATTGAAAACACCTGTGGATGTCACCGAGCAGCAATCAAGCATAATAAGCACCAATTAGGCAGCTTTAAAATGACTGTGATACTCAGCTCCTTCTAGACATTTACTGGTGTGGTTACAAACATGGTGAAGGCAAGAGAATGGTCCAGGAAGACAAGAGAAGAGGTGATTTCTCTTCACAGGAAGGGCAATGGCTATAAGAAGATTGCAAAGATGTTAAACATACCAAGAGACACCTTAGGAAGCATCATTCGCAAATTCAAGGCAAAGGGCACTGTTGAAACGCTACCTGGTCGTGGCAGAAAGAAGATGCTGACTTCGACTGCTGTGCGCTACCTGAAGCGTAGAGTGGAGAGAAGTCCCCGTGTGACTGCTGAGGAACTGAGAAAAGATTTGTCAGATGTGGGTACAGAAGTTTCAGCCCAGACAATAAGACGCACACTGCGTAATGAAGGCCTCCGTGCCAGAACTCCCAGGCGTACCCCCTTGCTGTCTCCAAAGAATAAGAAGAGTCGACTGCAGTATGCCAAAAGCCATGTGGACAAACCACAAAAGTTGTGGGATAGTGTTCTGTGGACTGATGAAACAAAATTAGAACTGTTTGGGCCCATGGATCAACGCTATGTTTGGAGGAGGAAGAACAAGGCCTATGATGAAAAGAACACCTTGCCTACTGTGAAGCATGGTGGAGGGTCAATCATGCTTTGGGGCTGTTTTGCTTCTGCAGGTACAGGGAAGCTTCAGCGTGTGCAAGGTACCATGAATTCTCTTCAGTACCAGGAGATATTGGATGGAAACGTGATGCAGTCCGTCACACACCTGAGGCTTGGGAGACGTTGGACCTTTCAACAGGACAATGATCCCAAGCATACCTCCAAGTCCACTAGAGCATGGTTGCAGAGGAAAGGCTGGAACATTTTGGAGTGGCCATCGCAGTCACCAGACTTAAATCCGATTGAGAACCTCTGGTGGGACTTAAAGAAAGCAGTTGCAGTGCGCAAGCCTAAGAATGTGACTGAACTGGAGGCCTTTGCCCATGAAGAATGGGCGAAGATACCCGTAGATCGCTGCAAGACACTTGTGTCAAGCTATGCTTCACGTTTAAAAGCTGTTATAACTGTAAAAGGATGCTGTACTAAGTACTAAGATTGAATGTCACTTGGGGGTTGAATAAAACTGATAATGCTGTGAGCACAGAAAAGACATTTGTGGTTATTTCATTATAACTGTTATGTTATATTTGTCTGACCTACAAGTGCCTCTTTAATGTAAATGTAAGCAAGATGACTGAATGATCAAAAGCAATGTCAAACTGGCCAAAACACTCAATTTCAGTGGGGGTTGAATAATTTTGGCCACAACTGTATGTGGTTGACTAGTTCTGTGAAGATAGTATGGAGCCAAGTGCAGTTAGTTTTGACACAGTTCATCATGAAACCGTAACGTACAAACTGACCTCAATGCACTGTTTAATTGGGCAACTATGTGGCAAATGAGGTTTAATGTTGATAAATGTAAGGTGATGCACTTGGGGGCTAAGAATATGCATGCATCATACATACTAGGGGGGTACAACTGGGGGAATCAATGGTGGAGAAGGATCTGGGAGTTCTGGTAGATCACAAGCCTAATAATGGCATGCAATGCCAAGCCGTGGTTTCTAAAGCGAGCAAAATCCTCTCATATTAAAAGAGGTATAGACTCCAGAGAGAGAGATATCATATTACCCCTGTACAAATCATTAGTAACACCTCATCTGGAATATGCAGTTCAGTTTTGGGCACCAATTCACAAAAAGAACATTGGGGAACTGGAGAAAGTACAGAGAAGGGCAACCAAACTGATAAGAGGCATGGAGGAGCTCAGCTATGAGGAAAGAGTAGAGGAGCTGAATTTATTCTCTTGAGAAGAGGAGATTAAGGGGGGATATGATCAACATGTATAAATACATCAGTGGTTCATATAGTGAACTCGGTATAGAGCTATTCACCCTGAGGTCAACACAGAGGAGAAGGGGGCACTCTTTACATCTGGGGGAAAATAAATCTAATCTACAGACACAGAAAGGTTTATTCACAGTAAGAGCTGTGAAAATGTGGAATAGACTCCCTCAAGAGTTGGTTCTGGACAGCTCAGTGGGTTGTTTTAAAAAAGACCTGGATTCTTTCTTAGATACACAGAATATAACTGGATACCAACATTTTATAGGTAAAGTTGATCCAGGGAATAGCCGATTGCCTCTCAGAGGATCAGGAAGGACCTATTTTTTCCCCTGCAGTAGCAAATTAGGTCATGCTTTGCTGGGGGTTTTTTGCCTTCCTCTGGATTAACTGTGGGTGTAGGATTATAACTTTTTTTTTTTTTTAATGGTTGAACTGGATGGACTTTTGTCTTTTTTTCAGCCAGACTAACTATGTAACTTCTAGAAAGCAGGGCAGGTGCAGCATAACATTACATTATTGCATGCATACCTGTAGAACTGCATACTAGCATAAACTGCATACATGCATACTTTTGTAACTGCATGTATGCATACTTGTTTAGATACATTCTTGCATATACTGCATGCATACTTGTGTGAACTGCATACTTGCATAGCTGTATATCTGCATGTTTGCATACCTGCGTGATTGCATAGCTGTAGACCAACATGACTTTGGACCTGCATCCATGTGGGACTGCATAATTAGGTTTTGGCAAATATGGTTGCTACACAGGGCCGGATCTAGCCTGTCCGACGTGGGGGTGCGGTAAAAACATCAGGGGGTCAGAGGACAGGGGCACAGCTTCTTCTCCTATCCCTGCACTGCACACATCCTGGGCACAGGCAGTAGAGCTCCTCCTCCCCACACAATGCATAACTGAGATCAGTATAGTGTCAGTCAAGGAAACTAATGTGAAACTAGGGTCGGAAAGTATCAGATTAGTGCAGCATAGTGAAAGGTTAGGGTTGGCTTTGGGAGGCACAACTAAAATCTGGGGGGCATAGCCCAGCCCTGCACTGCCCTAGATGCAGCCATGTTGTTACATTATTTACCTTATATAACAAAACCACAACCAACTAAAAGTGCAATCTCCCACAGACCCAATGCAGAAACATCTCCCCCCAGAAGTTGAAAACCTAGGTACAGGCAATAGGTCGCTATATAAGCAAATAGTCCGTGTCCAACCAAAATAAATAGTGGGAGTCCTTCAAAGTTCTCCATGTACCCTGATAAGGTCTTCTTTAAATCCACCAATTCTTGGTGATCCTTATATCTACAAAATTCCTCAAAGCAATATGTCTTCTTCTACCCTTAGTACCTAAAAAAACAAAAAAAATTAAACTAAACATAGCACATTATCCTTAACCACTTCCAGTCCGGATGCTTTTACCCCCTTCCTTTCCAGGCCAATTTTCAGCTTTCAGTGCTATCACACTTTGAATGACAATTGCGCGGTCATGCAACACTGTACTCATATGAATTTTTTAGCATTTTTTTTGAGACAGATAACGCTTTATTTTGGTGGTATTTATTCACCACTGGGATTTTTATTTTTTTTGCTATGTAAATGAAATGTCCGAAAATTTTGAAAAAAGTGTTTTTCTTATAAAATTTTGCAAATAAATAATATTTCATCATAAATCTTGCCCAAAATTTCTTCTGTTATCTTTTTAGTAAAGAAAAAAATAACCCAAATTAGTTAATAACCAAAAATTTTTTTATTTTTTTTGTTTTGTTTTTTTTTTTTACATGTCACCTTAGCAGTACAGTGTCACCATGGTGATTTTTTTTTTTTTTTTTTTTTTTTTTTTTTTACACTGATTGCTTTTACACCCATAAAGGCTGTAATTTCTCCTTCTCTCTAGCTGCATTCTTGCAGCCATTGAGAACTACTGAGTGAGCTGTGATTGGTCACAGCTTGTCACATGGTACAAGGCTGTTGTGAATAGCCTTGTACCATGTGACCTCTGTGATCATTCACAAATTTCACATGTAGTCAGCAATGATGTCACA